AAAGTCAAGGGATCATGAACCCTATTTACCATAAACTGCATTCCTAGGTTTTACATTGTCACAAGTAAAGAGCCCTTGCTGGAAAAAGCTTGATATTATGCAAGGAATAGAGCTTTGGAAGTCTGGACACCAGGCTCTAGACCTGGAGGTGCTCCTAACACAATGAAGCAAGTTCTCATACATCTCTGGGTCTTAGTTTCCACATCTGTAAAATGAGGTGGTTGGACTAGATGGTATCTTAAGATCATTTTTCTTCTCTGCCATTATGAAGATGGAAATACCCATAGGACCCACCCATTATATTCTGTCCTGACTATGCACAGACTGACAGAAAACATGAGGTACCCTTTTGGGCAGTTACCTCACAGCAGGCTACACACAAGATCACACTAGCCTTTACTGTGGTCTACCACTGAGTTTTCACATAAGAGTGCCTGTCCTCACAAACAGAATAGCTCTTTCCACAGGAAGTTATTCCTATTTGCTCTCTCAGCCATGAATCACTGTGGACCACCATCCTCCTGGATCCTCCTTGATATCTGCTGCAAATCTAGGTTGAGACACTGCTCAGAGTGGCCCTCGGGAAAAACTTGGCATATGCAGACCAAGTGAAGCTTTCAGTCCTCTAGAAATCTGAATGTCCCTGCTATTAGTCAGCCCTATTGCCTAACAAGATCTAGACTTTTGAGTGACACCCATATCACTGCTTGATTTCTTTCATTTTCCTGTGTTCTCACTCCTGCTTATGTGCACCTTTACCAGCCTTTACTCAGAATTCCAGGGCTATGCCCTATTTGGGAATTGAAGACACCAATGCATAATAAGGTAACGTTAATTACAGCCCTTTGGTAAATGAAGACAGATTTTATGTTACTAGTTGAGACCTCACACCAAGAAGTGCGGGGCTCATGAGGTACTGTGATAGCACCTGTGGACAAGTCAGTCGATCTCCATTAGTAGCTTTAAGAATAAATAGATTGAAGCTTATTTGATTTGCTGGGTTTTTTCTGTTAATGGATATTAATCTACTTAGTAAGTCATAGACTAGTCCCATACATGTTTAGCTCTCAAGTATCTATCAGAGGCTTGAAATGTCCACAACAGGTGGGCTTGGTGAATGCCAGGACTTAACATGATTGAGAGAGTGTTTTGAGTCATGGCACATGGCAACATGGAAATAAAACAGATATATCACAAGTGGGTGGTAGAAATAGACTGGAAGAGAATTTTAACACCTAAAATATGACAGATTTATCCCTACCAGCTTCTCAGTTTTGTGATACATCCATTCTCCCTTGATCTGAGATTCTATATCTGTGTTTAATATTTCTTCCTAAAACTCTCTGTTTGGTTTCTTTTGTTCTATCATTTTTTTCTCTGTATCTTCTTTCTTAAGTGCCACTTTGGTTTTGTAAAAAATCTGAGATCATATAGTGTGGCTTGTTTGAAAGTCATTTGTTCAGTGTTTTTATGATGATGATTTCTGGTTAGAGGCTCATAAAAATATCTCTAGGATATGGTTGGGTAGTTCATACATCTTGGTGAGAGTCTCATAGCAGTATAGGAAAGGGCCGACTTTGAGGACAGGATACATTTAAAACTGTTATGAATCATGGGATGACATTTCCAAAAATCAAGTGTCAAAGGCCATGGTATGTGTTTAAATTCTTAATCTCTGTGTGAATATTACAAGAAAACCTTCTAAGCCCTCGTTCATAGTGAAATGAGCAGGTCTTCACTGGAATAAATTAGCATTTTCAAGGTGCTTTGCAATTTGCAAAGTTCTCTGCTTCTTGTATTTAACCTCATTTGTAACAAGTCTTTCCCTTTCATAGTTGCCCTTTTCTTTGCCCTGAAACTCAGAGACCCTTTTGGGAGAAAGAATTCTAGCTTTGCTTTCATTTGGATCTTGCATGATGAGATTGCCTCTCAGGTTGCCCTGGTGGGGCTCCCTTGTTTTACTCTAAAATTGTGACATTTAAGCAGTGACTTTGCAAAATTTGATTTGTCAGTAAGAAAAGTACTCTTCCCACCCTAAAGATTGACAGGAACATGAGATGGCAAGAGTACATAGGACAAGAAATACTTGGGAGAGCTCAGCATCGAATCCCATCATATCAGAGTACATGACTAGATGCCTAATCTTGTAGTTGGAGTCACTCAGTAAAATTGTTGGCGAAGGGACTGGTACTCTGACAAAGTTATATTGAGAAGATACTTGTAGTGTATTAACTTATTAATAGTAGGCACGAGGAGAGAAGAATAATGTAAAAAAATGAAGATCAAACCACTGATAAACCCACAAAGACTCCATTCTAGGTTGTCATCAACCTCTTGCCTCTGCCATGACTAGTGGCCAGTAATTGTCTAAAGAAGTTTTAAATCATTTGGAAATTTCTTTGGTAAATGAAAAATAAAGTAAAGGGAGAAGGATGACCACAAGCCAAGCTGTGAACGAGGAACTTTTGGAGGTGTGGGCCAACTAGGTCACTGAATTTGCCGTGTTTGACTCTTAGGTTGCACCACTTTGAACTTTGGAAGTTTGATCCTCCCAGCAGTGTTTCTGAGGTAGAGAGGCTGGGATTAGGTTGCAGTGGGAGAATCCCCACAAATGGGATTCCACTGTAACCGTACCAGTAGCCCTATTTCTCTCTTGACTTGACAACTTGGATCCCATTAAAGGGGTTTAGTTATTGACCTCTCAGTAGAACCTCATTATAAAGCCCCAAATAAAGCACCACTCTTCCCCCCACCAGTGCCGCCTCCCAAATTCCCCATTATTTACCTGATCACCCAGAATAACTAAATCAGAGGGATCGCCAGCTCCCTTCCCTTGATACATTAAACCTGCCCTGTCAGTCCTGCCCCAAAGTAGCCTTCTTTCCTTTCCATGCCCATTGCCATTATTGCTCTCATTCATTCAGTCCCCCCCCCCCTTACGTCTCATCAGGATAACTGCAGTACCCTTCCAGACTCTTCCTACTACCAGACTTTCTTCCCCAGGATCCACCTTTATTACTGCCTGCATTATCCTGATCTTCTCCTTCTGTACCAATTGCAAAAAGGCCCTTCATGCTCTGCCTTTCCCTTCCTTTGTAGCTTGGTGTGCCATCTCTTCCACATCCTGTGCTTCTGTGATGGGCTGTGTCCTGCTTCTGGAGCAGACCCTGTGCTCTTCTCATACCTTTGCCCACACTGTACCTTTCCTTAGAATTCCCTCTCCTCTCCTCCTTGTGCTAAAGTCTTACCCATTGTTCAGGGACCAGGTCAAATATGATCACATTCACCAAGTCTTGTCTGATGCCCCTAAACCCAATATGATCGCTGCCTCTGCTAAATCTCAACACCACTTTATATCTCTTGCCTGACAGTCATTTGTATATTGATCTTGGTACACTGAGAAGAAAGAACTGTCTTACTCTCTGTGGGCAGCAGAAGATCCTGCACCACATAGTACGACAACTGTTCCTTAAGTGTTCATCTTATAAAATGAATAGGGTGGTAGCATGTACAGGCGGGGCCCAAGGGGAGGTTAAAATGTAACTGCTGAGTTGTTGGAAGACAAGAATGTGTACATAACCTCTGAAGTAAATGGTTCTCAGAGGATCATGTGCAAGAGGGAGCTTAGAACTTTTGATGCCTAACACTCACTGGAAAACCATCCTGATGTACACTGGACTGTGAAAAACTAAAGGGTCTGAAATGTGGCCTTCAGCCACTGGAGAGATTTGTTAATCAAACACCAGCCAACTCCACCAACAGTATATAAAGGCACTTTGTAAACAGTCCAGTGATTATTAAGGATATTATTAACATCATACTGTTAATGTGTAATGAAGTTGGCCCAGACGCTAATGAAACCAGTGATTGTTTGGGCGTGTGCTAAATAACCATCAGGGTTTCTGACCCAATGATCTAAGGGCAAAATCACCAGCTATTCTTACTGAGAAATTGTGTTTCACCTCACAAAAGGCCTTTTGTGTTTTGGTTTCATGAAAGTTGTGGTTTTGTGGGGACAAATCTTAAGAGCAGGCAGTGGTCACGCTTCAGGAAGTTTTTTGGAAGGCAGAGTTACCTGGTTGAAGTAAACTGCAGATAGAATAAATGCTATTGCTGTAGGGCCAAGCTCTCAGTTCACACTGATTTGTCATAGTTGACTAATTCATTAATGGTCAGGAAGTAATGCTCTTGTTTTTGTGCCTTCTCTTGTGTATCAGGCAAAATAGATTTATATTGATTTGCTAACCTTATAGGGCTGTCACTCTGTCCATATTCGGTTGTTGCTTTTCCAAATGATCAGATGGCTGGAACTACCACACTTGCTAAAGGAATACACGTCCTGATGTGTGGCTTGAAACTAGGATTGACTTCTTAGAAGAAAGCATTTGCTGCTCTAAGTTTATTGTTCACAGCACCACAAGAGGGACATAAAAAATACCTTGGCTTTACCTAAAAACACACCTCACTGAAATCTAAAATTTGGGTTCATAAAGGTTAATCATCTAATAAAATACAGTGTTTCCTTCGGGTGAAAAGTTCGAGTTTATTTTAGGGGTGTGGTATTGTTCAGACTGGCCATGTTCCTGCCATAATGCAATCAGGCTGGATAAGAAAGAGGCTAGAGGGTCATGGGGAGAGCACCATGTCACTTCCCTTGAGGAGGCAGAGGAGCAACTGGGAGAGGCTTGGTGCTGAGGGAATCAGTATTGGGACCCTGAGGTGGGGCGTGTCTATAGGGTGCAGGGGACAGCTCAGAGGCCAATGGGGCTGGAGTTGAAGGGAGCTGGGGTGAGCGGGGCAGGGACAGGGGTTCTTAGAGGGACTTACAGGCCATCCTGAGGACCTTAGCTTTTCCTTGAGCTTGTTCCTGGTGACCAGCCTCCAGCCATCAGATGGCCTATTGAGCTGTCATAGCATAATAACTTGCTGTATTCACTTCCATCAATATTTTTATTTTTATTGTCGCTACAGTGAAAAGCAAGAGATTTTGTTTGTGAGACAAAGTCTCTTCCTTGTGTACATAGTGGGTATAGGTGTCTATGTCTCTGTCCTACCCTGCTCTATCTGACATTAAGTGTCTGACACTAAGGAGATGTGTGGCTAGAATTGTTCTTTTCAGTAATTCTGCTAATCTGGTACATACCAAGGAGGACAGATAATGCCCAGGATCTCTATATTCATAGTGTCTAATTCTTTTTAACTACACTGGTAACATAAGTCTATCTCTTATAGTTACTTTTATCATAACAGCAAAAAAAATGAATTATTTGTAGGGCCAAATACAAGCTCTTTAGGCATATGAAGTGGGTTAACAAGGGTGGCTCAGCGTTAAGTTATGCCAGAGCTGAGTCCAAATTTTATTCCGGTACAGGGATGACTTTCTATGTGGCCTCTCTGGCTCTGGAGCTAATTTGGATGCTGAGTAGCCCCACAGGTATTTATATGTAGTGTTTGGTATTTTTACTGGGTTCTATTCTTCTCCCTTGGATCACCTAAAATGGTTAAGAATTTTCTAGTGGGATTAAGGTTGTGATCTCTGGGGAGGGGTGGGCCATCTGCTCTTGGTTATTTTTGTGTTAGCCGCTTCCCCTTAAATGTATGTTCACAAATGAGCCACAGCCTTATCAGCTGTGGTCCAGGGAGGACTGGTCTAGGTATTGCTCCTGAACTTGGTATCTGAGCCATGGCTTCCCAAAGACACTCAGGTAAAAGCTTCATATTATTTATCTTCTATTGAGCACAAGTTTGTTTGGGCAGTAAAGCCGTCATTTGCCTAAAGGATAGTTTTTCATGAAATGAATTTAGTATTGTCTAAATAGTAAATAAGACATAGCCCATCTCTGTTCAGTCCTTGTCTTCTGATGTTGTTTCAAAGACAAAATGTTATTCTTATTCAAGTAAAATTAGCAGTTTGAATGGCTTATTTTTTAAAATATATGAACCTTTTACTATATTGTACATTTTTCAGGACATCTTATAAAACTGTAAGAAATTGTGGGAGGAAAGAAGATATTTTGGTTAGAAATTTTTGGTGATTTATAAGATACAAATTCTTATCTTGACAGTGCTTTAAATCAAATTTAAGATGTGTAGAAAAAGGTAAATTGAATATAGAGCTGGAAGGAGTATTTATAACTGAGAAAGTCCGTAATGCCCTACCACGTATCTTCCCTATTTCTAAACAGTGGTTTTTAGTGTTCCTTAAGAAACAGCTGTGTTCCTTTTGCTATAACACTTAGGTTATTAATTGGAAAGGGGGCAAAATTTCAGGACTTCTAGACTGTCATTACTATAAGTGTCTTCCTCTTGTTTTGTAACGTGATGTTAAGGAAGCCCTTTGGCCATGGACAATACACCTCGGAATAGGGGACCAAAGACTGAAGGACAGGCAGTCTCCTCAGAATGCCCGGCTCTCTCTGTTCAGCCTGCTGCCAATCTCTGCTCTGCAGCCAGGAATGCTGTTGCTGCTTTGTTGTCCTCTGCCTGAGTAACGCTTCCCTTTCTTAGAAACCAAGCACTTTGTCCTGTCTCCAAGTTTTCAGATTAAGAGACAAAGAAATAAGCAGTGGCATTCTTTTAGAAAAAAAAAAAAATTATAAACTTGGGATTGCCTGTCAATATTTAAACAATAGGAATAGTTTAGAAACTATTCCTTTGGTGTTTTAAAACAAATGTGCTACCATGGAATTCCTGCTTTGATGAATTAATATGCAATGTCTTCCTTATTTAAGAGTTCAAGAGCTGTTTGTCTCCCACCCCCCACCCCAGGAGCCATTT